AGAGTGGAAGAATGACTTAGTGGTTAAGATTTAGCTTATGACTCAGAAGACCAGGATGAAATTATGTGCTCTGCAAAGGGCTTCCTCCTATCATCCCCTTAGGTAAGTCACTTGCAGTGACATAACTTGAAATATTGACACTCCAGGTTAGTGTTTCTTAACCTGTGGTACACATACCCCCAGGGGTATACGGGACACGGGCAGAGGGTATGCGAGTGCAGTGTTTTGAGTTTGATCCGGCACCTCACCTGGCAGGTTGGAGGCGTCTTTGCCTGTTTGGGCTGGAAGTTTTGGCCGCTGCCCCTCCTACTGCATCTGGTGCACCGGGGCTTTCCCATTCTGAATACTTTGCAGCCTCACAGAGAGAAAGGCTGCTGCTAGGGGAAACCTGCTGCAGGCTCCCATCCAGCAGGTAGATTCCCCTCCCCCCTGAAACCAACAGTGAACTTCTGTTTGTTCTGGGGGATTGTTGTAACTCAGAACAGTTCCTGCAAGGTGTTCTCAGTCCTAGCAAGGAGCTGCACTTCTGTCTGCACCCTCTGTCTCATGCTCAAGTTTGACTGGGACCCTCAAACTAAACATTCTTGCATAAGTCATTGGAGGATTTTGATCCTTGAGGCATGCTCAGAACATGGTCAGAACATATCTAACATGCCATGACAGTTGTGAGATTTCCATGAAACACAGCAACCACGGTCACTTCCATTAAAAAAGGAAGGGGTGACAGGCACTCCCTTACTCCCTCCACCATCTTTCATACAGTAGTCTAATCTACTCAGACAGCCTGAGGTGATCCAGCTACCCCTCAGTATGATGGCTAGCTTCAGGAGACTCATTGCTAAGCAGAAAGCCTAATGTGGATCCAACTCCAAGGTGCCTAACTCTACCTATATTCTGTACAGAGAGATTATGCACCTGAATTAGTGCTGTGGATTCTTATGATTCCTCTGAAATCATGCAACATCACCATATTGGGTACCTTTACATGTGCTCTGGGGTGAGGGTGTTTACATTGGAGTGGTTCTTGTGAGCTCTAATTAAATGCTTGCAGCAAGTTGTGTATTCAGTGTCCCACCTTTCAAAATGGTGGTGAGGGTTCTCTAACTAAAGCTCTTTCAAAGAGATTTAGTTAAAGCACCCCCACCACTATTTTGAAATGTGGGATGCTGAATATGTGAGATGCTGCAGCATGCTGGAGTGTTCTAATTAGAATGCTACAACAGACTTGAATAATCAAGTCTGCTCCAATGCATTCTAATCAGAACACTTCGAAGCATATATAAAAGTGCCCTTTAAAACCTAAGACTTCAGATTATCCAAGTGTCAAATCACAATCGATAAAACAGGGATAAGAACACTTTCATACTACGCAGGGGTATTGCATGGGTAAACATGTTAAAGACCGTGAGGTACTCAGATACTATGGAGAAGTGTTAGAAATACTTTCCATAATAGGTAACAAAAAAAATAGAATATAAAGATTGTGTTTCCTAAAAATTCAGTATAAGAGTAGAAGAAATGATATCCTTCAAAGTAATGGGGTATGATATCATTTGATAATTTCTTTCTCAGCTTGTCACAGCAAGAACCAGCATTTGTATTTTCATGATGACAGATGCAATTTAAAGTTGAGCTGACTAAAGTTAATAAAAAATAACTATTTCTAGTTAATTTTATTCCAAGTCATAAGAAAATGAAAGCTAAAGGCTCCTAATGACAGTGCAGTGGATGTGTGTGTTCAGAGTTTTCATTACAAAATGAAAGGTCTCTGTCCCAACTGCAGGCAGATTTACGTGGCCGATCCCTTCTATGTGTGTGAAATCCAAATGCTATCAGTGACATGAAAGTGGAAAGGTCAGAGACCTCTGGATAGCCAGTGGTCAACCCCGCCCCTCACCGCCCCTGTGCTGCTCTCTTGCAGTGATGTCTGGTACCATGTAAACCAGTACAACCTGTTCGATGGTCAGGTTGTCAGGAACTAAACTGGCACCCCCATCTGGGCTAGCCTGAGTGAGGAAGTTGTGTGGACATCATCAGGTCCCATCAAAAGATAGGTTAAAACAAGACATATTAAAGACATATTAAAGTACAGATGAGCTTCCTATGAACCAATGGCTATCCATACCTGGAGAGGAGATGGGAGTCACCATGGCACTTTGCCTGAAGAATCACCAATGATGATTCTAAGATGCTCCAACAGTTGCAGTGGCCTCAGGACTGATTTGATTAATTGTACATTAATTTTTGGATGATAGCAAGTTGGATAAAGTGAAAGCTACTTTTAAGCTCAGGGATAGGCTCCAGAATTACCTGGATAGACTGGAGAAATGGTCTTCAATCAATCAGCTGACATTCAACAAGGGCAAACGCAAAGTCTTTCACTTGGGACAGACTAATTGCATGAACATAATAGACTGGTGAATAATTGTCTGGACTTCAGTACTACAGAGAAGGACCTGAGGGTTACAGCAAGTCAGAAGCCAAATATGAGTCAACAGTGTGCTCTTGTTGCAAAAAAGGCCAACAGCATACTAGGTTGTACTAATGAGAGTTTCTATTGCAGATCAAAGTGATTTTTCTGCTCTGTTTGCCACCGGTGAGGCCTCACCTGGAGTACTATGTCCAGTTCTGGACTCCATACTTCAAGAAGGATGAAGACAGACTGGGAAGAGATCAGTAGACAGTGACAAAAATTATTAGGCACCTGTAAGACAAGATTTAAAAGGAAGGCTGAAACAACTAGCAATATTTAATCTGTAGAAGACAAGACTTAGGGGAAGTCTGGTGAGAGTCTTCAAATAGATTTTCATAGATTTCATAGACATTGGTGTTGGAAGGGACCTTGTAACATCATCAGGTCCAGCCCCCTGCCCAAGGGGCAGGAAGTCAGCTCAGGTCAAAGGATTCCAGTGAGATAAATGTCCAAGTGTTTCTTGAAAATGTCCAGAGTAGGTGCTTGCACCACCTCTGGGGAAATTTGTTCCAGGCCTCATGGCTCAGACAGGAAAGAAGTTTTTCCTTATGTCTAGCCTAAAACAGTCTTGCCGGCGTTTGTGACCATTAGACCTTGCCACACTCTGGGGTGCTCTGGTGAACCCCCAGATCCTGATACACACCCCTTTTGTACTTATAGGCTGCCACCAAGTCACCCCTAAGCTTGCGCTTCTCCAGGCTGAAAAGTCCCATAGCTCACAGCCTCTTTTCATAAGGCCTGTTCTCTTGCTCTCTGACCATGCACGTGGCTCTTCTCTGGACTCTTTCAAGCTTCTCCATGGCCTTCCTAAATTGCGGAGCCCAGATTTGGATGCAGTACTCCAGCTGTGGCCTCACCAAGGCTGAGTACAGTGGGAGGATGACATCCTGGGTCTTGCTCGAGATGCATCAGTAGGTGCAAGCCAGAGTTTTGTTTGCTTTGCCAGCTGTGGTATTGCACTGGTGGCTCATATTCATCTTGTGGTCAATCATGACCCCCAAGTCTCTTTTGGTCATGGTGATACCAAGTGTAGCATTCCAGAGCCTGTAAGTGTGATGTGGGATTTTATTCCCGGATGGAGCACCTTGCATTTCTCCATATTGAATGCCATCAGGTTTTCATCCACCCACCTTGCAAGCCTGTCGAGGTCGGTCTGGATCATCATCCTATCCTCAAATGTGGAGACTCTTCCCCAAAGTTTGGTGTCGTGTGAACTTCACCAGTCTGCTTTTGACACCAGTGTCCAGATCCTTTATGAAGACATTAAAGAATACAGGTCTGAGAATGGAGTCTTGGCAAGACCTACCCACAGCAAACCCATGCTGGCTATCCCTCAGAACGTTGCCTTCTGTTAGCATGTCAAGAATGGTTTCTTTGATAATTTTTTCCAACATCTTGCCATGGATTGAAGTCAAACTGATTGGCTTGTAGTTTCTTGGGTCTTCTTTCCTCCCTTTCTTGAAGATGGGCACCACATTGGCCCTCTTCCAATCTTCAGGTACTTCACCCGAGCACCATGAGTTCTCAAATATTCTTGCCAGTGGCTGCGCTATGATGTCATCCAGTTCCTTTAGCACTCTTGGGTGGGAACTATCCAGACCAGCTCATTTCTGGAGGTCGAGCCTCTCAAGATGCTCCTACACAAGATCCATGGCAATGGTGGGTATACATCCATCATCACCCTGGTCATTCAGCATCATGTTAGGTAGGGTGGTCCCTTTGGGCTGATGAAAAACTGATGCAAAGTAATCATTAAGCAGTTTGGATTTTTCCTGGGTGTCCGTAGTGAGCCGCCCCAGCTGGTTTAGCAGGGGTCCAATCTTGCCCTTGTTTTTCTTTCAACTCCCCACATATCTGAAGAAAGACTTTTTATTGTCCTTAATTCATGCAGCCAGACGGAGTTCAGTTGCAGCCTTGGCTTTTCTAGTTTCCTCCCTGCAGGTGTGAACCAATGCAGTATACTCCTCCTTGGAGTTATTACCTGTTCTCCGTCTGTTATATGCCTCTCTTTTTAAACATAGGAGATCCATGAGTTTCTTGTTGAGCCAAGGGGGTTGTTGAGCTTTTTTACCACCTTTCCTACAGGTGGGGATGGACTTCCCTTGTGCTTCTAGGATTGCTTCCTTAAGGAGCAACCACTCATCATGAACTCCCCTCTCTGTGAAATCATGGCCTCTCAGCACCTTAAGAACAAGCCTCCTGAGGTTATGAAAGTCATCTTTCTTAAAGTCAAGGACTACTGCATTGCTGGCTGACTTGCCAGCTTTGCAATGGATAGTGAAAGTGATCAACTTGTGGTCACTGTCACCCAGCTTCCCTTCGATTCTTAGGTTATTGATTAAATCATCCCCCTTGGCCAGTACCAGGTTCATCAGTGCCTTGCCTCTTGTTGGCCCATAAACTTTTTGGGACAGATAGAGCTCATCCACACATGAAAGGAAGCTTTGTGACTGATCGGATTTTGCCAAGCATTCATCCCATGCGATGACCGGGTATTTGAAGTCTCCCATGACAACCATGGACTGAGAATGTGAAGGCTCAGCCAGTTCCCTGGAGAATTCCTGGTCAAGCACTTGTTCCTGGTTTAGAGGTCTGTAGGAGACTCCTACTATCGTATCCCCTTCACTATGTTCCCCTCGTATTCTAACCCAACGGGTCTCCAGTCATCCTCCTTGGGTGCCAATCTCAGCTTGTAGGGATGTGTACCTCTCCTTCACATAGAGAGCTACACCCATGCCCCTTTTTTCGGCATGATCTCTCCTGTCTGGGTATAACTATTTATACCAATAGTCCAGTCATAGGAGGAGTCCCACCAGGTCTCTGTGATCCCTATGAGATCATAGCAGTTTCTGTGTAGTTTCTGCTGTTTATTCCCCAAACTCCTAGCATTAGTGTACAGGCACATAAGAGTGTCATTGGAGGCCCTAGCCTTCCTTGTACTCATGGAGAAGCTCTGTTCCCGGTTTGGGGTAGGAGTGGGTTCCCTTGAGTATCCTAACCTGCTAGTTTTGATGCTTAGTGAGCATCACTTCATATAGATGAATGATGATTTTAGAGAAGTTTGAGATGGGCTTTTTCTGTGGTTGTAGGGGTCAGGACTAGAAACAATGTCCTCAAGCTGCAGTAGAGAACATTTAGGTTAGAGAATAGGAGGAACTTTCTGACTATGAGAGTGGTCAAGCATTGGAACAGGCTACTTAGAGAGGTGTGGAATATCCACCCCTGGACATGTTCAAGAGCAGATTGGACATACATGTGGCTGGGATGATTTAGTCAGAGACAATTCCTTCCAGCCCTACTTTTCTAAGATCCTATGAACTAAGATTTGCTTGGTATCAGTGGCACTGCACTTCCTTTTTTATAATAGGTTTGTAGGTACTGTAATGACCCAAGAAACCTAGTATGGTAAAACCCATGTCATCCACTTCCCCAAAGGGGAAGCACCAGGCTAAGCTCCAGGCTATAGAAAAAGTACCAAATTAAATTAGGTGTTAATTGTTTTTGTGCTGTTGGTGCAAGGTTTGTGCAGGGGTTTTCTGAGTCCCTTTTTGGAGGCTCATCTAAATTGTCTTAAGTTCCATTTCAGGTGTTCCAAGTCTTTGATCTGTCCAAAATTTACTGTGTCTGCCTCACACAGTATTGCACAATGTCATTCTACTATGTAAGGTAACTGGTGCAAGTTAGTTATGTGTTATAGATATGTGTTAATTGTTGTATCACATAATAAATCAAAAATGTTAGTATCAGTGACCATTGCTTGTTTCATTATGTAACCAGCATGAGTCAGAATTTCAATGATCCAAAACTAGTTTAAGTAAATAATTAAAATGAAAAGAAACAAACCTCCAACATCTGCCTCAGGGATTACATTATCACAGACACTATACAAAACATCCTGCATTTTTTCAGCCTTCATTTCAGTAAACCTGGGGGTAGAATGAACTAATTTATTTACCATTTACCTTTCTGTGCTGTTTGCTACTCATCACATCTGAGATGCTTCTATCTCTAGAGAGTAAGTTTATTTATCCTCACAGCAGTGATACCACAAAAATAGGATTCTACTCAGATTTTCTCAGACTCTTCTGCACTTTACAAGCAGGTTAAGTTTGAAGAAACATGTTTTTTTAGTGGATGGGCAACTGGTTCTGAAAAAAATGGCCTTGATTTTGCTTCTCTGATTTCCAGAGAACTCAGAAATATAGACTTATAAACTCAGAAGCTTTTTGACACCAGGACAATGTTTTTATTTAAATTTCTTACGTAAAGCCGCTTCAATATTTTTAGATTTTGTATAAAATTATTCTATTTCCTGAATTTAACTGTAATGTGTTAGTTGCACTACAGAGTCTAGCATATTTCTAGTAGAGTGCTTCCAAGAATTAGTTGTAATTTTGACCACATCTCAAAAGATGGTCTTGTGTATTATGAAGCCTTCCATCCACAAATAAGGCCACTGTTGGGATTCACACATGAGGACAACATCATCTCCCCATCATACCATAATAAATATTTACAAGGAAAAGAAAAATTAGAAAGTGTGTGTACTTTTAGAAAATCACAGCTGAAAATGAGAAGAGCTGGATTCAGCTTTTCTCTGCAGTCTGCTATCAAATTTCTTCTAAGTTTGTTAAGACCAGCTATAGCACAGGTCTCCCTGCTAAATCATCTCAGGAACTGTATTTGTAAAAGGACCTGATTACTTTGCTATCTATGGCTAAAAGCAGAACCGATAAAAAACACAAATATGTATACCCTTGGAAATTCCAACTTTTTTAAAGGAAAAAAGAGGTTCTGAATCAGAATAGAATCTTGAAAATTAGAATTCCATCACAAAGAAACATTATGAAATTGTTATATTCAGAAATCTTGAGATATTTTAATTCAGTAATGATGAAATACTCTGTATAAATATTAGTATATAAAATATGACATTTATATGCACACACAGAGTCTCTATATGCAAAGAGTCTCTTTGTGTAAACACACATACCTAGACTATACACATATGTATACACACATGCATATAGTAACATTACCTTTTTATTTTAATTATTAGCCAGTATTTTGGGAATCTGATGTTTCCTTCCTGGGTGCTATTTGGTTTGTTTTCAAGAAGTGTACATACATAGAACCTTTTTTCTCTGAACACAGTACTTTAAACACCAACAGACAGTTTGCTCATGACTCCAAATGTGCCTTTCTTGCCAGTCCTCTACCACAGGGAGCTTTGGTAGTGATAACTTTCCAGGCCAGTTTCACATATGATTCTCTTACTGTCTGCTGTTTATTTTGCTCCTCTAGTTTTTCTTTTTCTTTTCTTATTCTAACACATATAGCCCACCCCCACCCCATGTGCTCCCATGCCCCTTCAGTAGTGTGCACAGCCCGCCCCCCTCCCCCCTGCTGGATGAGCTACCCGTGGCCCCATCCCATTCCCTGCCTGAGCCCTTTGGCCACCAATTCTGGCCTTGGGCCCCAAGCCCCATGCACTGTCTGAGCTGGGCAGCAGTCTCAGCCTGAACTCCAGCCCAACTCCCTTGCTCCCTCACTGTGGAGGTCTCAATTCCCCTCTCCCCTGGCTTACCTATGGGAGCTGCTCTCCAGGCTTCTGGTGTATGTTTGCATGTGCACACATGCACATGGGTCTCCCTCATGATCACCCTCCTCCTGCTCCATGGGTGACTGATACCCCCTTAATTGGGGGGGGTCATGTGCGGGAGGGGGGTCCCCCATGGCTGATCCTGTTGACTGGGGAGGTCCCCATGGCCGATTTCACTATGCCCAATCACTGCAGCCACTTCCAGCAGTGGCTGCAGCCACTTCTGGGAATGGCTGCAGCAATTGGCCGGCACTTGCAAGGGGGGCACCGGCACTCCCATCTGCCCCCCCTGCCCATCACCTAAGCAGTGAGTGCAGCCAATCAGAGGGTGTACCCCCTATGAGTTGCCACTGTCCCTAGCACCTTGCAGGCTGGAACTCTAGCCAGTCATGGAAGACAATCATCCTTGACTGCAATGGGCTCCTGAAGAAGACAGTGGAGAGGGATTTTTTCTTTTTTGTATGTGTCTATATGCCACATGCAAAACACATGCAGGAGAACGTGACAAGCTCTCTTTAGTTTCTCAATAAGAATTTTATTTGGCTCTCCCTTTAAAGTTTTTCAGTTCCTTCAGTTTCATCCAATGCTTTTCAAGTGCACCCAAGTAACTATTTTTATGACTCAGTTTAGCTATTATAGTTGTCTCTACAAAGGATCAACCTCCATGCTGTCCATCTGCTGTCCATCATGCTGTACACAACCTCTTCTAAAGTTAATGCTACTACACCCTTGTGTAGAAACTCATGTGAAAACTGATGTAGAATAGTCAAATCTATTAGTTTTCATGTTGCACATAAGGGAATAATCTCCTGAGCCTAAGAGAATGAATAGAGACGGATGGCTTCCCACTCACAAATTTCTCCCAGCATCAGTTGGGAGAGGAAAAGAAAGAGGTGCTGAAAATCAACAGCCAGTTATGGCTCCCAGGTATCTTCCCAGAATCTGGAAGCTACTATAATTTGTGACAGTTTGTGTAGGTTCCACAAAGTCCATCCATCAACTGAGGAAGCCACAGCACTTTGAACTTCAGCCACTTCCCTTTCCTGCCTTCAGCTTGACATCTTCTGTGACATTGAGGTCAGAGAGATATGAGCCCTATTTAGCTTTATGCCCTGGTTTTGGTGATAAACCCATTTGTCTCTTCCCTGCTCCCTAGCCTGAGGGAGAAAGAGCATGTGCTGACAAAGCCACCCTGACTTCCATATTGCAAGGAACAAACACATACCCTAAACCTGCTTCAAACTGCATAATGTGTACAATCAAACTCTTCTAATCATAGCATTGTACAAAGTAAATGGTTGCCTATGAAAATGCATACCTTTCTGAACCACTTAGTCTTCAAGATCCCCTGGCCTACCTTTATCCTGACTTCAGACAAACAAGGCTAAATATCTCTATATTCTATTCTTTCTGTAATATCATCTGACAGATAAACATTAATTTATTATGCCCTAGGTCACATGCAACAATTCTCCTAGAAGAATTCCCAAAAATTCACCAGAAAAAGAATATTTTTGGAAAAGTCTAGCTATGTTCAGGACAACAACACAAACTAAATCAGTTGTGCTCAACCTTTCAGTCCTATAGCCTGGATGAGTGATGTGGTGCCAGTCCGTGTGCTAGAGCCGCAAGTTTGGAGCCCAGATCAGACCCCATGTGCCTGCACTGCCTACATTGGGCCCTGAATTCCCAGATGCCACTTCACGCTACCTGGATCAGGCCCAGTGCATCAGGATACCACCTTGCTGTGCCCAGATTGGGCCCTCAGCCTGGATCCTACCTTGCACCACCCAAATCAGGCCCCATTCACCTAGATCCAGATTTGCACCACCCAGATAAGGCCCTTCATGCCCTGATCATGCCTTGTGCCCAGTCCCAGTTCATGCATGTGATCTAGCAGGGCCATGCTATCTTGCCTACTGGGCTTTTCATGGGTTTGGAAATGTGGGAGTAGGGGAGTGGCAATTAATGCTGCCACCACTCCCCCACCGCCAAAGTTTTGAACCCATGGGGAGCCCGGTGGGCCAGATGTCACAGTTCTGTAGGTCAATCTGGCTCACAAGTCAGGGGTTGAATATCCCTGATATAAAAGCTTTAAGTATTTTATCCTAAAATTGGAGAATTTTACCCAGTGTAAAAAAAAAACAATGCAGCTCTAAGCTGAAAAGGCAAAAAAGTTATCTTGGAACGTAGTCGCTGGGAAAAATCTATTTTATTAGAGCTGAAAAACACAGAAGATAACTGTTGATTGGTCACCTGAAGGAGACAAGTAGTGTTCAAAGTCTTTTTGTGAAACACTCTAAAATATTTCCTTATCTTAATTCTTTCTAATTATTTGTCAAAATGTTTTCGTCCACTTTCACCTCTCCATTTTTTCATTCACATTTATTCAAACTGTATGCACTACTACAATAAAAACACAAAATTTCCTACTTTTTTTAGAGCAAACAATTGATTCAAAGTAACATAATATAATTTATGCAGCTTCTCACCTCTACATGTCCAATTGAAAACTGAATGTGCTTGGCAGAACATTGTTTGATGGCTTATGTGGAAATCAACATGTTGGTTGCTTTATTTTCATAAACCATAATCCAGAACTACAGTCAAAATCTTTTCAAGCCCATCACATCATTGAGGTTACTCAGCTACCCTTCTATCATTATTAAGGATTCCTGTACATTAGGTGAGCTGTAATAAATCAGTCCTGTGTCTTTCAAGGCTATGTTGTTCAGTTGTGGATGTCTGAGTTAATTTGTAAATCAAGTGCATACATTCAAGACTATGAAGTCCAAGTAGCATTTTTTTACTTAAGAAAGTTAAAAAAACAGGAAGCATCTCTCATAGGCAAAGGAATGTTTTAGTTGTATTCCACCTACATGGGCAAACCAATTACAATTTTAAAAACAGTTTAATCAATGAGAGTTTTTATATATATAAAAACAATTTACTTGATTATTTTTCCAGTGTTATTTTTGCAACATGGAAAGGGGCCTAAAGCTCATATTAAATTCATAGCTTAGACAGTAATTTATTAATAGTATTTCAATTCCCTATCAATATCAGGGCTCCACTGGGTTGGATGCTGTACAAACATTTTAAGAAACAGACCCTGCTTTTAATAATTTACAATCCATATTGAAATAAATTGTGACAGGCAATAGTAACTGAAAGATATCAGGAGAAGGACTGGGCATAATAATGGTAACACAAAGATGATAGGTGCATATTATTTCTGGGCATTTAAGTCAGATTTCTTTTAAAAGTTATATAAGAAATAATAAACATAATAGGTCTTTGCCTTATGTCTACTAGAGTTACTTCCAGTGAATGCATGTCCAAAATACTTTTATTTGTTGACAGAGGTGAGCTCATGTATACACTCTGAACACACAGTTCTTATTGCCAAATTAGGGGAGAGATTCTCAGCTGAACACAACTTTGTTTAGCATTAACCTCAGCAATGCAACAATGGCCTCAGGTCATCTTTTTATTCTGTGATCTTGATATAATCTTGAAAATTGGACTTAGTGGTGATTAGAACAGCCTCAGGTCTTCATGCTTGTAGAGTGTAGGGAGAGTGGTCCCTAAGAGACCATTCTGCAACTAGGGATTCTGCATGGAGGGTGATAAAGAGCTAGGTACAATAGACGACCACACATGAAGAAATTTTTGTATAGCTGGTTAAGAGAGCTTTAAGGCTGTTTTGCATTACTCTTAATTTAAAAGAATGTTTCACTCCTGCATGAAAATGAATCCCACAATGGCCAAAAAAATGAGTTCCATGTACAGAAAGCTAACATTCACTAGAGAAAATTTCTCAGAGCTAACTCAAGAGAAATATGCCTGAGAAATATATGCACACTTACGTTTACAGACAGGTGGCCTCCCTTTGTTACTCCATAATCCATCTTCTTGACACACTGCTGTTGCTTGTTGACTAGATTCTAGCTTGAAGCCCTCCTTGCATTCATATATCACTCTACTGCCCAAAGAGAATTCATTACCCGTAACTGAACCATTCCCTGGAGATTCTGGAATACCACAGGATACAGCTGAAAAAATGGGGACAAAAAGTAAAAATCTGGTATCTTCTGGTATTATTTAAAAAAAAATCATATTTACCCTCAATAATCAGAAACAGTATATGAATAATAATTCATTTGTATCCCTTTGATTGGTAACTAGTGGAAACAATTTATATTACCTTTATAACATCCTAACATTTTCCAATGATACTTTAAAATGCATGAGTAAATTAGAAAATACATTTTGTATTAGCAGGCTCTCTCATAAATTGGCTCTTATTTAGTGCAATTTCATGACCTTTGCAGCATAAAGCTTAAATTATCAGAAGAAATATATGGCCCAAAGTTTATTTATTGGTCTAAAAGTAATTGTCCAGCAAGTATCCAGTATTATGAGCCCAAAGTAAAAAATATAGGAACATAAGACTGGAAGGGACTATGGTACAGTTTCCTGCTGCACAAGCAAAGAGAATTATATATATAT